GTAACTGGTTTGCTATAAGTAAAATAGTATTACTTCCCTTCCTCTTTTCCTTTTTCCCTTCTTATCTTCCTTCCCTCCCTGTCCCCCACCCCTCCTCTTCCATTCCCCATCCTCCATTCCTCCCAGCCTTCCCTTTTCCCCTCCCGCACTCACTCTCACCTTCTGGCCCCCATCGCCCACCCTGCCACTTCCCTCCCTCCCTGTCTCTCTCTCTGTCTCTCTCTGTCTCTCGCTGTCTCTCAGGTCCACAGCGTCTCATACTCTACACCAGTATTGCTGTCCTACTCAGGTCCTTGACTCCATGAAGCTTACCCCCTCAGGCAGGCTGGCAGAGAGCAGGTAAGAGCTAGACCCATCGCCCCCCAACTCCTCCCCGTTCCAGACAAATACACAGTGTCATTGCCAGCCCCTCCCACCTCCCTGAGTCCCTGCTGTGCCTGTGGAATGGGTGTCCGAGTGTCTGAGGAGAGTGCCTGGGAGATCAGGTCAGGAGACCAAAGAGGATATTCAGGGCCTATCTGTAGTTTGTCCTTCCTTAAAACAATTCTTCCCCAGAGACCGGCCCGGAAAGGCCTGAGTGGTTGGTCCTAGACTATGTGATATTCCAGCTGTTGTAAAGGATGAGTAGGAGTTTGCCAGTTGAATAGACTGAGGAAGGGTGTTTAGGCAGAGGGAACAATCTGCCCATATCTTTGGAGAAGGTTACTTCTTTTTTTTTTTTCTAAGAGGAAGTCTTGCTCTGTCGCTCAGGCTGGAGTGCTGTGGCACAATCTTGGCTCACTGCAACCTCCACCTCCCGGGTTCAGGCAATTCTCCTGCTTCAGCCTCCTGAGTAGCTGGGACTACATGCATGTGCCACCACATCTGGCTCATTTTTTTGTTTTTTAGTAGAGACAGGGTTTCACCATGTTGGCCAGGCTGGTCTCGAACTCCTGACCTCATGATCCGCCCACCTCGGCCTCCCAAAGTGTTGGGATTACAGGCGTGAGCCACTACACCCAGCTGGAGAACGTTATTTCTAAGTTACGTTTTCTAATTATAACTCAATAAAAGGAACGATTAACAACAACAGCAAAACGGCTAGGCCCTCCTCCCCATTTGAAAGTTTAAAAATACTTGTGTTAAAGAGGAAATAAGAGTGGAATTTATGGACTATTTAGAATAAATGTCAGTGAGAATACTGCATGTTAAAACCTATGGAATATGGTCACAGGGATTCCCAGAGGAAAATTTATGATCTTAATTGCTTTTGTGAAAGAACATGATGGTTTAAATTAAATGGACTAATGATTCCACTCCAGAAGCTAGAAAAATACAACCAAAACAAAGCAGAATAATTACTACATATAAAACCAGAAATTAATGAAATGGAAAACAAAAGCTTTGATAAAGTATTAATAAGTAAGCAAATATGACTTTTGGAAAGACCAGCTCTACCTAGTTTGGTAGCCATCCTTTGGCAGACATGACTAAGAAAAAGGTCAAATAAATAAATAAATAAATAAAATAAAATATAAGGAAGGGGATTTAACCATAGGTTCTAAACAGATTTTTTAAGTTATTATAAGAAAATATTGGCTGGGCGCAGTGGATCATGCCTGTAATCCCAGCACTTTGGGAGGCCAAGGCGGGTGGATCAGCTGAGGTCAGGAGTTCAAGACCAGCCTGGCCAACAAGGCAAAACCCCATTTCTACTGAAAATACAAAAATTAGCCGGGCATGGTGGTGTGTACCTATAATCCCAGCTGCTTGGGAGGATGAAGCAGGAGAATCGCTTGAACCTGGGAGGCGGAGGTTGCAGTGAGCTGAGATTGCACCACTTCACTCCAGCCTGTTGTTGAGACTCCATCTCAAAAAAAATAATAATAATTGGGTATACTTTTATACCAGTAAATATGAAAATATAGATGAATTGGGTGGTTTTCTAGGAAAATGTAAATTACTAAAGTGACTTAAGGAGGGGTAGGAAACCTGAATAAAATGGAAAACTATGGAATAAACTGAAAAGGTGGTCAAAATTTTCTCCCCAGAAATGTTACCAGGTCCAGTTGGTATTCTGGAAGTTCTGGTATGATGGAAATTCTAGCAGATCTTGAAAGATCAGATAATAGGAAAACATAGATAGCTTCCCAGTTCATTCTATAAGGCTAGTATAACTAGACAGGTTTAAACAAAATAAGAAGCAAACTATAGCCTAATGCCACATGTTAATAGAGCAGCAAATATTTTCAATAAAAGATTATCAAGTGGAATCCATCAGTGTATTAATAGAAAAATATATTGTGACAAATGAAAGTTTGCCCTAAGAGTACAGGGATTGTTCAACATTAGTAAATGTTATTGTAATTTATTGTATTAAGAGATTAAAGACAAAATATCATATAATCTCCATTAATGCTGAAAAGTGATCTGATTAAATTACACATCTATTCTGCTATATTGGGGTAGTTTGTTACACAGCAATAGATGACTAATATAGTAAGCTAGGAATCATGAAGACTTCCTTAACTTGGTAAACAATTTTTATGAGAAACCAAAGAGAATCATTAAATGTAACAGTGAGGTACTAGATACATTTCCATTAAATTCAGGAACAAAATAAGGATGGCGACTATTGCTGTTATTAACCGATATTTTTCTAAAAGTTTTAACCAGTGGAATTAAAAAAAGAAATACGTGGTATAAATGTTAGAAAGACAGAGTTAGAATTAGCATTATTTGAGGATAATATGATTGTCTACTTAGATAATTGAAGAGAATAAAGTGAAAAATTAGTAGAAGAAGAAAATTCAGTGCAATGAGTAGACACAGTTAGATATACATGCAAACCATTAACTTCTCTGAGTACCAGCAGTAAGTAATTAGAACACAAAACAGAAAATATCCCATTCACAATAGAAAAATAATTCTATAAAACCTTTATGAATTTACAAGAAATGTGAAATACTTCTCTATAGAAAACTATAAAATTTCATCAATGGCTGTAAGAAGCCTTGAGTAAAACAAAGTTATATCTTTTTTTTTTTTTTTTTTTTGAGACGGAGTCTCACTCTGTTGCCGAGGCTGGAGTGCAGTGGGGTGATCTTGGCTCATTGCAACCTCCGCCTCCTAGGTTCAAGTGATTCTCCTGCCTCAGCCTCCTGAGTAGCTGGGATTACAGGTGCATGCCACCACGCCCAGCTAATTTTTGTTTTTTCGGTAGAGGCAGGGTTTCCCCCTGTTGGTCAGGCTGGTCTTGAACTCCGGACATCCTGATCTGCCCGTCTCGGCCTCCTAAAGTGCTGGAATTACAGGCGTGAGCCACTGCGCCTGGCACAAAGTTACATCTTGTTCCTGGATGAGAAGAGTCACTGTGGTAAAAATGGTATTTGTTCCTAATTTGGTCAAAACGTTCCTTGCATTCCTTATTAAAATTTCAATGATATTTTCTTTGGAACTTGAGTGATTGCAGTTTAAAGTTCATTCGGAAGAGTAAATGTTCATGAATCACTAAGAAAATTTTGAAAAAGAACGAGGGTGACTTGGTTTGTTAGATACAAACTTACCATAAAGCTGCAATAATTACAAATATTCTATCATCAAAGAAATAGAGGACTACAAACATGAAACGAAACAGAGTTTAGAAATAAACTCATGTTCATATGGGAATTTATGACAAAAGACATCTCAAATCAGTGGTGAGTCAATAAATGAGATGGGACTATTGGTTACCCATTTGGTAAAAACATTTAAGTGAAATCCCTGTTTCATATGAAAACAAATACAGGACGGGTGCAGTGGCTCTCTCCTGTAATCCCAGCCCTTTGGGAGGCTGAGGCGGGCAGATTGCTTGAGCTCAGGAGTTCAAGACCCGCCTGGGAAACATGGCAAAACGCCAAAAATACAAAAATGAGCTGGGCCTGGTGGCACATTCCTGTAACCCCAGCTACTTGGGAGGCTGAGGCAGGAGAATCACTTGAACCCAGGAGGCAGAGGTCACAGTGAGCCAAGATCTCACCACTGCACTCCAACCTGGGCAACCGAGGGAGACTGTCTCAAAGAAGAAGAAGAAGAAAAAAAAAAAAAAAAAAACACACACACACACACACAGCCATAAAAGTACCAGAAAAAAAATCTGGAATATTTTAATAATATTAGAGTGGAGAAAGCCTTTCTGAGCATGACTTAAAAACCCATAAGCTATAACATAAAGAGTAATAATTTCGGCTACATTAAAATTTAAAGCTTCTGTGTGGGGAAAGATACTATACACAAAATTAAAACATAAACAACAGGCTAGAAGAAAGTATTTGCTACACAGATATCAGACAAAAGGTTAATATGTCTGCCTGTATCTACCTTCTGGAAACTAGTAAGAAAAAGAGACAACACCCATTCAAAATGGAGAAATAACACGATATGGCAATTCTGGGAAGAAATAGACAATTAGCTAACAAATGAGGAAAGCTGCTCAAGCTTACTAATAGTTAAAGAAATGTCACTAAAGCAATGAAGTGCCATTTTTAGGTACTCAAATTGAAAATATCAGAAGGATTCTGGAGAAACTGAACCTCTCAGATACCTTGTGCAAATTGGTAACATTTTTTATGGCGCTAGTTTGTCAGTTACCACCAGAATCCTAAATGTCTGTGTTCTTCCATGCTGAGAACCATATCTTGGAGTTAGATTTCTCCAAGCTCTTGCTTCCAGAAGGACCCCAACGTGGCCAGCCAGAGGCCTTTTCTAAAACGCCACAATCCAAACTGCAAACATAAGCCAGACTGTGCAACTGTTTATCACATGCCCTTGTAGGACATCATTCTCAACCAACTCTTAACTAAAAGGTACATGATATATGCTTCTCGAAAGAAAGACAAGATTATGTGAGTAGGGATAATCTTTATTTGTAGCCAGTCTGCAAAAATGTTAAAGTAATGGAAATAACTTTTATGGGCACTTTAAACAAAATGTGCATTCCTTTGGCCCAGAAGTTCAACTTTTAAGAATCTAACCTTCAAGAATACTTGGAGACATATGCAGAGATGTTCAGTGCAGCATTGCTTGTGATACTGAAAAATGAAAACCACCTAAATGTCCATCAGTAGGGAATAGCTCTTAGTCCATGATATACCCATATTATGGATTACTCTGCAGCAGATCCAAAGAAAAAGGTAGATCTCTATATACTCGCACAGCAAGATCTACAAGACTCACTGTTACACAGAGAAAGCAAACTGCAGAACAGGGTTTATAGTTGATCCCATTTTTATAAGGAAAAGAAAACCCCCATAACAACAGTGAAAACATATTTTGAACACCCTGTCATGATTTCAGAATTACTGGCCTTTTTCCTTGGTCCC